ATTCAGGAAACCCGAGCACAGATCCAATTCCATAGATCAAGAGCCCTTCACCAGCGTCAAGGAACCTCCCTTAAGGGGGTTATATATTATCAGGCATCTCTCTCCGCTCCAGCGGATACATAATTAGGACTTTGAGGTGTTCCCAGTAATTTAAATGCTTTATTGACTCTAAGCGGGGTCCTTAAAGGACGGAATGTCCTGATGCTGAAAAGTTCTTCATCCAATGAATTGGTATTGCCCTCAACTTCTCTGGACCAAACTTGAGCAATCTCCTTTACCCAGACGCTGTACGACTCCAACGGGCTTAGCGTTTCCCCATATCCAACATGTATTATATAGTGGGAGACTAAGACGGCAATAGGATCCCACAACTTTTAAGAAGTTAAGGGATAAGATACTTTTACAAACGATGTTTCGATCCTTGAATATTGATCACCTCATATGCATGGTAATTACATTTATTTGAAGTGATTAAGGTTATAAAACCGAGACGTTTTCAATAACGTTGTCTTAAGTGAATGCACTGTGTCCTTCCACCTCTAAGACAGCATTTGTCCTGCAGTCTGTGTTCCCTTGTGCGAGTGGAATGACAGCACTTGTCCTGCATCCTGTGGTGTTCCCTTGCAGGAGTGGAGTGACAGCAAGTCTTGCGTCCTGTAGTGCTGCCTTGCGTGAGTAGGGCGACAGCACGTCTTGCGTCCTGTAGTGCTGTCTTGTGTGAATGGAGTGACAGCACTCTCTTGCGTCCTGTAGTGCTGTCTTGTGTGAATGGAGTGACAGCACTCTTGCGTCCTGTGGTGTTGCTTTGCATAGGTGGGGTGACCAGTCTCTTCCTAGTTCCCTTCCCTCACACGCTCTTCTTCAGTCTTCACAAATAATCCACATTTTGGAAAGGAAACTTCAGACGACGTTTCGGTTAATCCCAGCTGTGACACGATGGTCTCGCCTCAACCGATACAAAGTCTAAAGTTACCTCTGGAAAGTGCGGGTTATTCGCGAATGGTTCCAGTCATCTGTTAGTTACCAGTTATCTGTTAACGGTTCTGGGGATTATCTTCCTCACGGCCAGGGTCTCAGACTAGGTTTCCCCACGGCCAAGGTCTAAAGCTAGGCTTCTCCACGGCCAGGGTCTCAAGCTAGGCTTCTCCACGGCCAAGGTCTCAAGCTAGGCTTCTCCACGGCCAAGGTCTCAAGCTAGGCTTCCCCACAGCCAGGGTCTCAAGCTAGGCTTCCCCACGGCCAGGGTCTCAAGCTAGGCTTCCCCACGGCCAGGGTCTCAAGCTAGGCTTCCCAACGGCCAGGGTCTCAAGCTAGGCTTCCCCGCGACCAGGGTCTCAGACTAGGCTTACCTGCATACCTGGAGGTTATTCCGGGGATCAACGCCCCCGCGGCCCGGTCCATGACCAGGCCTCCCGGTGGATCAGGGCCTGATCAACCAGGCTGTTACTGCTGGCCGCACGCAGTCCAACGTACGAGCCACAGCCCGGCTGATCCGGCACTGACTTTAGGTATCTGTCCAGCTCTGTCTTGAGGGCAGCCAGGGGTTTATTGGTAATTCCCCTAATGCTTGATGGGAGGCTGTTGAACAGTCTTGGGCCCCGGACACTTATGGTGTTTTCTCTTAGTGTACCAATGGCGCCCCTACTTTTAATTGGGGGCATTTTGCATCGCTTGCCCAGTCTTTTACTTTCGTAGGGAGTGATTTGTGTGTGCAGATTTGGGACCATTCCTTCCAGGATTTTCCAAGTGTAGATTATGATATATCTCTCCCTCCTGCGTTCCAACGAGTACAAGTCAAGTGCTTCCAAGTGTTCCCAGTAGTTAAGGTGCTTGACAGAACTTATACATACAGTAAAGGATCTCTGTACACTCTCTAGATCTACAATTTCACCTGCTTTGAATGGAGATGTTAATGTACAGCAGTATTCCAGCCTAGAGAGAACAAGTGATTTGAAAAGGATCATCACTGGCTTGGCATCTCCCGTTCTGAACGTTCTCATTGTCCATCCTATCATTTTCTTTGCACTTGTGATCGTGGCACTGTTGTGATCCTTGAAAGTGAGATCCTCAGACATTACTACTCCCAGGTCCCTTACATTATTTTTCCGCTCTATTGTATGGCCAGAGTTTGTAGTATACTCTGTTCTAGTTATTATCTCCTCCAGTTTTCCTTAACGGAGTAGTTGGAATTTGTCCTCATTGAACATCATATTGTTTTCCGTTGCCCACTGGAAAACTTTGTTTATATCTTCTTGGAGGTTAACCGCATCCTTAGCAGATGACAGCCTCATGCAGATCCTAGTATCATCCGCAAAGGATGATACGGTGCTGTGGTGTATATCTCTGTCTATGTCTGATATGGGGATGAGGAATAAGATGGGGGTGAGTACTGTGCCTTGTGGAACAGAGCTCTTCACTATGGCAGCCTCCGATTTAACTCTGTTGACCACTACTCTTTGTGTTCGATTTGTTAGGAAGTTGAAGATCCATCTCCCCACTTTCCCAGTTATTCCTTTAGCACGTATTTTATGGGCTATTACGCCATGAACGCATTTGTCAAATGCTTTTGCAAAGTCTGTGTATATTACATCTGCATTCTGATTTTCTTCCAGTGCATCCAAGGCCATATCATAGAGATCAAGTAGTTGCGAGAGGCAGGAGCGACCTGCCCTGAACCCATGTTGCCCTGGATTGTGCAGATTTTGGGAATCCAGGTGATTTGCAATCCTGCTTCTTAGCACTCTTTCAAAGATTTTTATGATGTGGGACGTCAGAGCTATTGGTCTAAAGTTCTTGGCTAATGCTTTGCTGCCACCTTTATGGAGTGGGGCTATATCCGTTGTTTTAGATGACTGTGGAATTTCACCCATGTCCAAGCTCCTCCTCCATAGTGTACTTAGGGCACGCGAGAGGGGTTTCTTGCAGTTCTTAATGAATACAGAGTTCCACGAGTCTGGGCCCGGGGCTGATTGCATGGGCTTTTTTTCGAAATCTATCGGAGTTAGGGCAATGTCGGAAATCTGGCAAAGCTTCCAAAGCTGCAAATACTACTGGAACTTAATTCCTTCTAGATATTCTCAAACTTTATCAACAAGGACCCCAATGGAAATACAAACACCCCAATGGAAATACAAAACCCCAATGGAAATACAAGGACCCCAATGGAAATACGAGGACCCCAATGGAAATACGAGGACCCCAATGGAAATACAAAACCCCAATGGAAATACAAGGACCCAGTGGAAATACAAGAACCAAGTGGAAACAAGAACCCAGTGGAAATACAAGGACACCAGTGGAAATACATGGACCCAGTGGAAGTACTAGAACCCGCACTAGAAATACAAGGGCCCCCAATAAATATGTCACTGACTTTTTTTGGGGGGTTACACTAGGTAATATATACGTTACTCGGTATGATAAAATGCATGTAACTGTACCTAAATAAACATACTAATTCCTCCTTGAGTGACTTCACTCCTGCGAGTCTGGACACTCAAGTGTCTTCGCTAGTACCCCCCACCCCCCGGGGCTGAAGTGGAGTATCAGAACTCTGGAAACTGATTACAGGTATATTACAGCTAACTGCATATTGAATGTTCTCCAGATTTTTAAGAATGAATAGTTTTTAGCATTAAGATAATTATAAGATATTCATCGGTAAGCACTGAGCCCGGAAGAGTTGTGCCGCGCCTGGGAGGTGATGGGTAATCAGGTTTTAGCCTGGAAAGAAGAGGATAATGCATATTATTTGGATCGAGAGCACTTCAGTCAGCGTGTTGACCTGCATTAGGTGTGATACTAAGATAATCAGGTTTAACACCAATATGGAAACTATCAATATTATCTAGTACAGAAGATTTGGTTCAGCTTAATAACCAAGAGTGTTAACAACCCATTAGGGTTAACGCATTAGGATTAACAATACAGGATAGTCTGTGAAAGCAACAATGATGCGGTTTCGTTCACGCAGGCCAGGCAGACGAGGCAGGTCAGCAGGCCAGGCAAGTCAGCAGGCCAGGCAGGTCAGGAAGGCCAGGTAGGCCAGGCAGGTCAGCAGGCCAGGCAGGTCAGCAGGCCAGGCAGGTCAGCAGGCCAGGCAGGTCAGGCAGGTCAGCAGGCCAGGCAGGTCAGGCAAGCAGCACGACACATTCACAACACCACAAAGTCAAGCAAGTAGTGTTGCCGCTTACCACCGTCAAGATCTTGAGGCCTCGACAGCCGAACAACACCCAGGTATTTATTTACTGCTAAGCGAATAAGGGCAGTAGGTGCCAGGAGACCTACCCACAGGCCATAGGCTTGACTAGGAAAGTAGAACAAATATAACTCGATCACGGGGTCATCTCGCCCTCTTCCAGAGTTAAACCCACGTCAGTTATTTGGTATTGGAAAGCCATCAACCACATGTACATCAGGTCGCCCACTGCACCAAACATTGGCATCAAACTTAAAAATAAAAATTTTCAGGGATAAACCAAAATAAACATGCATAGTCACGTGAAAAAAAAAACTATTAAGACCTTGAATGTATATCCTACACAACTTTTGCGATGCTCTTAGAGAGTACGCAGATATTATAGCCATGCAAAATAGCATATACCGTAGTTTAAATAACAAAAGGTAATTTAATAGCCAAACATGGTGACTTAACCACTCATATCTGATGTTAAAACACTTTTTCAAACACTCCCATACAGCCTCTCCTCTTAGAACTCTAAATTCATTATAAAGTCAAACGAGTTTTATTTCTATCATGTGTGGTATGTTCTTTATTTCTTTCACGTGTGTAATGTTGGAATGAGAGCAGAGGTGCGTGAAGAAAGGACACTTGCTCACAACAACGTGTACATAAGAACATAGGAAAGAAAGAACATTGCAGCAGGTCTACTGGCCCATGTGAGGCAGGTCCAAGTCTCCTACATTTACTTAAGGAAGGAGCACGGAATCTGACCTAGTAGCACAAGCCAGCACTGAGTGTATATATGAACAATACTTACATCATGGAGCAGCAGAAATATACTCGCTGGGTGGGGCTGGTATAATCCACGGTATACTTCACTGTATATTAATGTAATGTATCTAACCTTACAAACAAGATAATCGTTTCACTAGACAAACTACCCACGTGAGTCAAAAAAAAAAAATCAGTTTATGGTCTTTTACAGCACCTGGGTTATATTTCACAACTACGGACACTGAGTTTGGTCGTTCTATGCTTCACTAATATTGACTTAAAGCATAAGCTATTAGTAAGACTTGAGAGTACACGTGGTTTAGAGGTGGTGATGGTTCACTGGCGAGACGAGCGCTACACTCCCCGACCACTGTCACAGAAACACTGGTGTGGAACAGCTTATCATACAGTACTGCTGCCCGCACACGTTCAGGTCATGCCTTGAATTCTCCCAGTGCCGAATAAAAACTATTTGCACAATTCACACTGATTTAAAAAAATGTCTTGCGTGTAAGCTGACTAAGTACAGACACAATGAGCTCCGTATTTTTTTAAATAAGCTCCTTTACTGGCTGAGAGGTTCAATGTTCGTACCTCTGGCGGCGCGGCAGCAGCCATGAGATGTGTTCCCAAGTTCTCTACAGTCACAACAAAGTTAGTAGAGTTACAGCTCTCTCAAGTGGAGGATGTAGCTCTCTGCTCATTCCGACATTATTCTGTCTTCTCCGAAACCGAACTTAAATAATGCTGAACCTCATGGTTAATGACTATTATTCTTCATTTTAGGTTTCTAAGAGCATAAAGCAAATCCAATATAATTAGAATTCGTTTTTACTCTAATACTGTCCATCTTTCAGGGGACAACACTGTCCCTCAGAGAACCATCTTTCAGGGGACAACACTGTTCCACTGTCCCCAGAGAACCATCTTTCAGGGGACAACACTGTCCCTCAGAGAACCATCTTTCAGGGGACAACACTATCCCTCAGAGAACCATCTTTCAGGGGACAACACTGTCCCTCAGAGAACCATCTTTCAGGGGACAACACTCCCTCAGAGAACCATCTTTCAGGGGACAACACTGCCCCTCAGAGAACCATCTTTCAGGGGACAACGCTGCCCCCCAGACAACCATCTTTCAGGGGACAACGCTGCCCCCCAGAGAACCATCTTTTAGGGGACAACACTGCCCCCCAGACAACCATCTTTCAGGGGACAACACTGCCCCCCAGAGAACCATCTTTCAGGGAACAACACTGCCCCCAGAGAACCATCTTTCAAGGGACAACACTGCACCCCCAGAGAACCATCTTTCAGGGAACAACACTTCCCAGAGAACCATCTTTCAGGGAACAACTGTCCCCTCAGAGAACCATCTTTCAGTGGACAACACTGTCCCCCAGAGAGCCATCTTTCATTGGACAGGACTGCCCCAGAGAACCATCCTTTAGGGGACAACACTGTCCCTCAGAGAACCATCTTTCAGGGGACAACACTATCCCTCAGAGAACCATCTTTCAGGGGACAACACTGCCCCCAGAGAACCATCTTTCAGGGGACAACACTGCCTCCAGAGAGCCATCTTTCAAGGGACAACATTGCCCCCCAGAGAACCATCTTTCAGGGGACAACACTGCCCCAGAGAACCATCTTTCAGGGGACAACACTGCCCCAGAGAACCATCTTTCAGGGGACAACACTGCCCCAGAGGATCAGCTTTCAGGGGACAACACTGCTCCAGAGAACCATCTTTCAGGGGACAACAATGCCCCCTGGGAACCATCTTTCAGGGGACAACACTGCCCCCAGAGAACCATCTTTCAGGGGACAACACTGCCCCAGAGAACCATCTTTCAGGGGACAACACTGCCCCAGAGAACCATCTTTCAGGGACAACACTGCCCCAGAGGACACTTTCAGGGGACAACACTGCCCCAGAGAACCATCTTTCAGGGACAACACTGCCCCCAGAGGAACCATCTTTCAGGGGACAACACTGCCCCCAGAGAACCATCTTTCAGGGGACAACACTGCCCCAGAGAACCATCTTTCAGGGGACAACACTGCCCCCAGAGGACCATCTTTCAGGGGACAACACTGCCCCAGAGAACCATCGTTCCGGGGGCAACACTGCTCCAGAGAACCATCTTTCAGGGAACAACACTGCTCCAGAAAGCCATCTTTCAGGGAACAACACTGCCCCCAGACAACCATCTTTCAGGGGACAACACTGCCCCCAGAGGACCATCGTTCAGGGGACAACACTGCCCCAGAGAACCATCTTTCAGGGGACAACACTGCCCCAGAGAACCATCTTTCAGGGGACAACACTGCCCCCAGAGAACCATCTTTCAAGGGACAACACTGCTCCAGAAAATCATCTTTCAGAGAACAACACTGCCCCCAGAGAACCATCTTTCAGGGAACAACACTGCTCCCAGAGAACCACCTTTCAGGGGACAACACTGCCCAGAGAACCATCTTTCAGGGGACAACACTGCCCCCAGAGAACCATCTTTCAGGGGACAACACTGCCCCAGAGAACCATCTTTCAGGGTACAACACTGGCCCCAGAGAACCATCTTTCAGGGGACAACACTGCTCCAGAGAACCATCTTTCAGGGGAAAACACTGCCCCCAGAGAACCATCTTTCAGGGGACAACACTGCACCCAGAGAACTATCTTTAAGGGAACAACACTGCCCCAAGAGAACCATCTTTCAGGGGACAACACTGCCCCAGAGAACCATCTTTCGGGGGACAACGCTGCTCCAGAGAACCATCTTTCAGTTAACAACACTGCCCAGAGAACCATCTTTCAGTTAACAACACTGCCCAGAGAACCATCTTTCAGGAGACAACACTGCCCCCAGAGAACCATCTTTCAGGGGACAACGCTGCCCCCAGAGAACCATCCTTCAGGGCACAACATTGCCAAGAGAACCATCTTTCAGTTAACAACACTGCCCAGAGAACCATCATTCAGGGGACAACACTGCCCCCAGAGAACCATCCTTCAGGGCACAACACTGCCCCAGAGAACCATCTTGACCAAACTTTCCATAAGAAGTAATCGTCAATTTTTATGAATTTATTATTTTCCATAGACCATAGCAGGATCGCCTCCCCCTTCCCTAGACCAGTTGTCGACACTAGTGGCGCCTCCACCTCCTCCTCTGGACAATGGTTCCCTGCCAGGGGCACCTAACCCCTCTCCTAAACCCCTTTTCCTTGTCATAGACCGTTTCCAAACCTAGCGTGCCTCTCCTGCTTCAAAAGATTAGTGGTTTCCAACCAGGGTCGCCCCTTTCCCTGAACCAATTATTCTCAACAAGGGCGAGCCATCCCCTGGACCTTTGGTTCTCGGACTTTTTCAGACTACCGTCCCCTTGGCTCCTAGGCCACATCCCTAGCGCCCCCTCCTCCACACACACACCTTTTTTGGTATTAGGTTTACTGCAAATTCAAAACAACTAATCTAACTCTATAAATGAGCGTATTTATTTCACAATTATAAATTAACATAGTAAATCAATTTAACTTTATGAAAGCATAAATTTAAATTTCATCTGTAACTATCTTGTCTTTACAATTTTAATGAGATGGATGTGCTTAGTGCAGAGACATCACCTACTCAACATCAGAACTGAAGGCACTAAGAAGTCTTAGATCCCCGCGTTCAATAATTTCCAGTCTGTTTCTTTGCTTGGAAAGCTTGGCGACTGCACTGAAGCTTCGCTCTACTAAATATGACGTTGGGAAGGTAATAAAGTTCATTTTGACTTTGTTCCACAGGGCAGAGTAGCCTCAGAATTTATTTTTTGTAACCAAAAATCTTGATATGATTTTTTCAACTTTGGCTTCAGCTCAATGACATTTCGCTTCCTTACTTCTGATATCTAGGAATGGATTGATCATCCAATCCGGGATTTAAAGCAAAAAATAAAATGATCCTGAAATGTGTCAGACATTTTTCTATGTAGGTCATTCAGGTGTATACAATACACTTGAAGGTCATCGTCTAGTATGCTCTTCTTCACTTCAGAGAGGCTGAGAAACTGGAAGAGCTCACGACGGGCTGTTACCTTTGAATAACTGTAACCTGGACAGCAAAGTAGAAAGGGGTGATCTGACTTTGATAAGATTAACCACATTTCCTTGCAATTTCAAATTAACTTCGTTGAACTTTGAATACATCTAACAAATAAGCAATGTCTTGCTTAATGTTTCTAAGTTCATCACACAGAACAGAATTGTAGTCTTGGAAGAATCAACAACCGTATTAAAAAGTGAATAGAAACGTCTCAGGAATTTTCAATTTGACAGTCATCTAACTTCTGTGTTCAACAACAAACGTTCAAAATCTTCATCATTCTCAGTGCAGAGCTGTCGAACAGTCGGGAATGAAGAGCATCTGCCTTGATTTTATTTACTGCTGTGATAACAGTACTTAATGATTTGTGAAATCGACTACTTAGGTTTTTTTCAACCTGCTATCGATGGTGCCCCCATCTGTTGCACAAGCATGAATGTTGGTAAGAGGAAAAAATTCTCAACAACACGAAATACTGACTTCCCTTTTGTATCTATTTCTAGTTGTCTTGCAAATAACAGCTCTTGAAAGAAATTTTCGTCTCTGACGAAACGAACATAAGCAATAAAGCAAAGAGTCATTGCCTGACAGAGTGGACTCGTCTAATTGTAAGCCAAATTCTTGCATGTTGCACATTATGTCTGTAATGTTTTCAACCATTTCATAGCTTTAATAATTTGTTCAGATGACTTGTGTAAAGCTGTGCGCAGAACTTCACTTACTTGAGACAGAATAAGCTCTTCCCCAATTGTATGAGGCTTACCAGTTCTAGCAATCAGCAATGAGATATTATATGATGCACGCAAACCATCAGTGGATTGTTGTGCTCTAAGTTTTCTCGAAGTGATTGGAAATATGCTAAGTTTTCGTCTGCTGTATCAGAGTGTATTTTCTTCAAATGTTCCAGAAGCCTGGAAGATTTCATGGCTTCATTTGAAAAGACTTTTTCACACAGTAGTCATATTGCTTCCTGTTAGTTATTTGGTGTGGATACAAATCCATATTTCAGATATTCCACACTGTGTTGCCTGCACATCTTTTTTGTCTGCTGTGCTGTGGCCATATTTTATTCTGGAACAAAAATCACATGTTCTTTGTAAAAATCATGCCAGTCACAACAAAATGCACAGAAATTGTGACATGAAATCGTAATGTGCTGGCGGCCACGCTGGCGGCCACGCTGGCGGGAGTTTCATTTGTAAAAACTTGCATTTGTGGTGACAGTGGGGCCTATGCTAACCTTCCTATGGTGTACAAATATACCTAGTTGGAGGAATCTTATTGTAG